ATGACTTTGATTTATTGCTTCCTTGATCCATTAACCTTGTCGTATATTTTTTGCAATTCAGGCAAGAAATGTGGAGGTGGTTTGGTCATATCAAGGATCCATTTCCTTGATATGACCAAACCACCTCCACGTTTCTTCTTTAGTTTCATATTCAATTAATTTAACATCCATTCAACCTTGGCTTCTTGTTTTAAGTACCATCTTCTCACTTTTCCTAGTGTAACTCAACTCTTCTTTTTCCAATGGGTAGAATTATGCTCTTAAATACAGCCACTTCTGCTTTTTTTTCCCTGATAAATACTCATTCCTTACAGCTGTATAATTTTTACTTCATCTTGCCATCTTTAGTAAATATCGCACCCAGAAAGTGTTTCGTCCTCACTTTTTTTAGACATTCTGATCAATTCTTTGTTGCAAAGATTTAACTGGTATTATTAGGATAGAAAAGTAGATAAAAAGATAAAGGGTTCTGATTAAAGAAATGTATATACATTGGCTATTTCAAAATAACGTGATTTTGTTATGACCTATCATAATATCATTGTGATATGATCATTTGGTCCATCACAAGGCTTGTACAATCAGTGTAATGTTTGCTGCAGATCATTTGAACCCTCAGCTAGCAAAAAGGCATTATCTGCATTCGTTCCTTACATACCATAAAATGCATTAAACAGCCAAGGGAACATCATGGAGACCTGGATTACGCATTGCTCAATGTGGAGTGGTAATTTCATCTGTGCACAAAACATTTTAAATAGATTTAAATAGATAAACAGAGTTGGAAGGGACCTTGGGGGTCATCTAGTCCAACTCGCCTTGCCCAAGCAGGAGACCCTACACCATTTCTGACAGATGGCAGCCCAGTCTCTTGAGAGCTTCCATTGATGAAGCTCCCACAATTTCTGAAGGTTGCTCCATTGGTTGATTACTCTGTCAGAAAATTTCTCCTTATTTCCAGGTTGAATCTTTCCTTGTCCAGTTTCCATCCATTATTCCTTGTCTGGCCTTCAGGCGCTTTGAAAAATAGCCTGACCCCCTCCCTCTCTGTGGCAGCCCCTCAAATATTGGAACACTACTCTGATGTCTCCCCTGGTCCTTCTCTTCCCTAGACTAGCCAGGCCCAGTTCCTGCAACTGTTCTTCATATGTTTTAATCTCCAGTCCCCTCATCATCCTGGTTGCTCTTCTCTGCTCTCTTTCTAGAGTCTCAACATCTTATTTATAGTGTGGTGACCAAAACTGGATGCAGTACTCTAGGTGTGGACTTACTAAGGCTTTATAGATTGGTAGTAGTACCTCCCTTGATTGTATCCCTCTGTTAATACAACTTAGGATTGCATTGGCTTTTTTGGCTGTTGCCGCACACTGCTGGCTCCTATTTAGCTGATTGTTCACTAAGACTCCAAGATCCCTCTTGCTATTAAGCTTGGTTTCACATATAGTGGTTTCACTATATGTGTCCTTTGGGTTTTTCTTGACTAAGTGTAAGACTTTACTTTTGAATTTCATGTTGTTAGATTTCCTATTTCCTCCGGCCTTGCTGACTGATAGTGCCACCCTCTGCCATTGCGAAGATGTTCACGCTCAGGAGGACGGTCAGGGTTGTTGTCCGTTAAGCTTTGGCACTTTGGCCTTCGCTTGACCACCAGGCCCCAAAACATCTCCTGTGCTTGCTCTTAATGGGTGTACGTCCCATTCGTTTGGTAATATAGAAAATATATTCATTTGGTAAATAAAAAAAATATTAGTAAATAACGTAAAATGTAAATCATAATTATATATTCGCAATAAGATGTATTTGTAAATGTATCACCAATATTGATAGCAAACAAGGAACCACAGACTGTCGATAGTAGAATTGTTAGTTTTTTAATCATTTTCTTTTTTTCTATTTCTTTTCTTTCTTCTGTGTGTTGTGTTTGTTTGATATTTTGGTTTTGTAATCAATATTATTAAGTTTGTTGTTGTTTTTTTTAAATGGGAGTACGTCCCGCCCACCTGGTCTAAAAGGGACCTGCTCTTCCCAAAGGTTGCTCACAGTCCTCTTTTGGACCCCTTCAGTTCAAATTTTGCCTCATTGCTTTGCACAAAGTAAGCCCAGTGGAGATTTTGCTTTTCCTTTGCATCAGGGAATGGTGCAGCATAAAGGGTATATAACGGAAAAGGGAGCTGCAAGAATTACGTCCAAGAGGGCAAGGAACAGTTAGGACCAAAAAAGGCACAGAAAATGCATTGATTTTGATCAAAAGTTGTTTTGGAGGTAGATGAAAAGGGCTAAGCAAAGCTACTTCTAGCAAAGTGAATGGAATTAAAAAGTTTTAGAGCTTTGTACATGAATGCTATCAATAAAGCAAAGAAATACTAATGAAAAGAATGTCAGAAACACCATGAGATCGATGAAAAAGGAAAGATTGTGGGAAGGCAACGTAACTGGAGAAATGACAAAATGTGGTTATAGATCGGCTGTGCAACATGTTTTAATATGCTTGTGAAAGCTGCACATGATACCTGGAAGAATGGTCCTCAGCGCTGAGAGTGCAACGGCCTGTCAGATCCCTGTGTCTCCTGGTTGGTGAAAACCTCCAGCAGGTGAGTTCAGGCACCGATACATTTCTCATTGCAGGAGGGGATGTTTTCAGGGACTTTTGCCCCCTCCTTAAAGACACAATCTCTTGATCCCACCTGTCTGGACGATTTACATCTAGCCTCCCACCTTCCCTTTTTAGAGTAGGTGGTAGGAGAGCTTGGCAGCTTCAGAGGATCCTGGATGAAACGGATTATCTGCCCTTCCAGTCAGGTTTCAGGCCTGGTTATGGGACAGAAAGGGCGCTGCTCTCTGGGGAGAGCAGGGTGGGAATAGTGCATCCATCCGTGCTTTCCTTAGCAGACTTTGGCATCCCTGACCAGGGTTCCTTTGGGGGGCAATTGTGGGCCTTGGGTTTGGGCAGCATAATGGCCTGGTTCCTTTCGCCAAAGCTGGTCACAACAACTAGTGTTGATAGGAAACGAGAGATCCAGTCAATGGCTGTTCCTTTGTGGGGCGCCTCAAGACGTGCTACTTTCTCTGCTCCTTTTTAACATCTACGTGAAGCCGCCGGGTAAGGTCATCTGTCATCATGGAATGAGGTAAAAATGACGGACTGATGTATTATTATTTCATTTAGCATATGGCACGTGTTAGCCAGGGATCACTGAGGGGGCTGGCTGCCTCTGTGAAAGGAATTTTTTTCAGGCAGTGTTATCTTTACCTACAGGACACCTGAATGCCAGAAGGTAATCCTTTCTTGTCCCTCTGCAGTTTATTTGCTCATGTGAATCGAGCCACCAAGCTGCCAACCTCACTGGTGCGCAGGCCCAACGTCTTACCACATGAGCCACTGTAGCCTTTGCATTTCCATCCCTCGGGACCCAAGTGATGCTGTTTCTGCCCCCTCCCAGCACCTGGAGGCCGAGGTTTCTGGAGGGGAGATAAAGGCTTTGGTCAAATCCTGCTACCTTTGAGCGGCTGTGTGTGTGTGTGGAGCTTCCAGCTTCAGGACTTAAGTTGTTCTGGATGGGGCTGCAGTTCTCCAGACAGACGTGGTGCTTCTGGAATCATGACTCTTGCTTGATGAGCAGATGGCAGTTGTGGCTAGGACAGCGTTTACACAACTTTGTGTCGTGTGCCACTTGAGTCATTCCTAGATCGGGAGTCCCTACACTCATTCAAGCCCTGGTCATCTCCCTTCTGGACTATAGCAATGTGCTCTACATGAAGAGTATCTGGAAGCTTCAGCTGGTGCAGAATGCGGCCACATGGACAGTTCTTGGGGCCTGGAGGGCAGCCCATGTCACTCTGCTATTGCGCAAGATGCACTGGTTGCCGGTTTGCTTCCGGGTCAGTTCAAGGTGTTGGTTATCACTTTTAAAGCCCTCCATGGCACGGAAGCAGGTTATGTGAGGAGCCATTTCAGCCCAATGGGATTCCCCTGCCCCACCCGTGCCAGCAGAAAAGGCTGGTGGGATTCAGAAGAACCTTTTCTGTTCTGCTTCTTGCCCTCTGGACCATCGTGGTCCCCCAAGGCCAGAGCTGCTCCCATCCTCTTGAAGACATGACTGTGCCAGTCAGCCTGGGGCCCTGAGGGGGCACTTTGGAGGAGACCCCCCCATTACCTCCCGTGAACACTCTCCTTCCTCTCTATCCTGGTCAGTTTTAATTGAAATTTAAATTCATGACCCATGTTTATTGTTTCAATGTTTTATAGTGCATTTTATTTGGATGGAAGCCACAGAGATGGCGAGATGGTTGGCATGCAAGCTTAAAAAAAACTATTAAACTATTAAAAGGCATACACTTTAAAAACAAAAAACTGGCACTGTTAAGCTTCCAACATGCAGCCACCTCATTCTGTCTCGGCACTTGGGAGAAAGGCTAGCTGCCTCCTTGAGCACAAGCTGTGGGGACCACTAAATCATTCACTAACTCAATCTGGGGGAGAACCACCCCCTCCAGAGTTAAAGGTAATCATCTGGTCCAGGGAGCCTCCCCCCCCCCCCAAAAAAAGCATCTCTGTTTGCCAAGGTTCCTCGTGTGCAGCTTCCAGGCACTCGGCCAGCATTGGCACAGTAACCACTGTCTGGCTAGGGGTGGAAATATATCATTGGGTATCATCAACCTGCTGATGGTCCTACAACGGTGAAGCACAAGCGAGGTCCTTTAATGAGAATCTCTCTGCCGTTCAACACTGATCTTCATAATTGGAACACATTTCCATGCCCAGATATTCCAGAATGATTTGCTTGCATTTAGGGCAAGGCGTTGGTGCTGCCTCCCCTCCAAGGGCTTTTGAGATACGTGGTGTTGCTACCTGCACCTCCCCAGAGACACAGGCCAGGAAAAGCTATGGACAGAGATGAGTGAAAAGCTCTTATGAAAGAACTTGAGTTTTCCATATTGCATCCTGGAAGGCGAGTGGTGGGGGAACCATTGGGAATAATAATAACCAGACTTCTAAGTGCTCGAAGTCTACCTTATGAAATTTTATTGCTGGCATGCTGAATTAGGTGGGTGTAATACAAAAATAGGTCTCTATACAAATGTTCTTCACAAGTTTTTTACAATAGGAATTTTGTCTATGGTGTCTCACCCAATATGACATCTCCCCAAGCCAATCCAGCAGCTCACAACATCCCTTTCCAGGCCTCACCCCACCCAGGGTCCTTTTCCATCTCTTTCCAGTCAGCTTTTTATTGCAACAGATGGTGGAACACCCAAATCAATGGAGTATTGCTATTTGGGTCAAGGATGGGAGAAGGACCAGACCATTCAGACGTATTATTAACTATCTTGGGGAATGGTGAAAAAATTAAAGGTGGGAAGAGGGCAGAGCTATGAACTTGCATTCCAAGGATTTGGGAGGCGCCTCCTGCCGCTCTCCTGGGAAGACCCCCGATCACCCCCCTTCTGGAGGGCAGGAAGCTGCCCCCCCTTCCCCTGGCCGCTTCTGCTTCCGACATTCCTACGGGGTGGAACTTAAAGCAGACTGCGCTGCAGGGGAGGCCTCCAAGGGCTCCGTCCTAAGCGCACATCCCTGCAGAGAGCGCGTTCCCACAGGACTCTGTAGGCCTCCCACATCTCTATCAGAAGCGCCTCTCTCACACTTGAGAATCATGCTCAGGACTCCTGGGCAGCAGGACTCCCCAGGAGAAGGGAAGGCTGTGGAAAAACAGCTCAAAGGCCAAGTGCCCAACCAAGGCTGCCGCTGCCCTGGCCTCTGCTGCCATCCCTGGGCAAGGCTGCTGGGGAAGGACCCTGCTCGATGGCCCGGAGAGAGAAGGGGGGGGTGGCGGGGAGGGGGCCACCTAGCAGGCTCCTAGGCCGGTTTCCAGAGACTGACCACGATAGCCGCACTCGGGTCCTGTGCAGCAGTTCCAATTGACAAGCTAAGCTTCCTCTGGATTCCACCAGATTTCCAGACCTTTTTGGAACTGTGTTTCCTCCTCCCGGGCAACAGAATCAGAGATCTGCTTGTCCTGCTTCAATCATGCCAACACGCTCACCTTTGGGGAATCGCTTTCTACTGCTACCAAAGGGTTTCTCTGCTCCCCCTACCCCTCCCCCACCTGACGGGGGCTTGCTCCAGGCTACCAGCCTCCAGGTCTTCCAAAGGGCAGCACGACACTGGGGAGCCCACATTGCTGGGAAATGAATTGATGATGGAGGAGAAAAGGAAACGGGAGACTCTGCAACAGAATCATCTCCACGGGATGCTGTGCAGGACTTATCTGGCAAGAAAGGCATCCAGTCCAACCCCCCCCCCCCCCCCCCCCCCCCCGGTGGCTCAGGCATCACACAGCCTGGAGCCTAGCCTGGAGCAATGGACAACCCCTCTCCCCAACCTCTGCCTACAGGCAAGTGCTGTGGCCAGAGACAAGGATGGGAGCATGCCAAGAGCGCAGGTGGGGGCAGGGAACTGAAGTGAGGTCTGTAGTGGGGGGGCGGGGGGAGTAGGAGGAAGAAGGAAGGGACAACTCCCCCATTTCACATTATCACAAATTTATCCCTTCAAACATGCCTCCGTGCTTAATGGGGCAAGAGATAAAAACAGAATTAATGCAACATTACTGCACTTTTCAAAAGCTACCATTAGAAAAAACCAAAACAGAACACCCAGGAGATCCAAAATAATTAGGTGGCTTGGAGACTTTGGTCTCCAGAAAAGCTACATTTTAAACAGCTCTGGGCTGAAACTTCCGCTGGCTGGAACCTGCAAGCAACATTTCCCCGTTCAACAAGCTCAGAGTAAAGATGAGACGTTTTGCAAGGCTGTAATCACACTGGCGTCCCAAAATTAATGCTTGCACAAATTAATTCAACCTGGGGCTTAAGCTGAAAACAGAACCCAGGGCATCGGACAGAAATGGGCTTCAGAAAGAGTTCCCTTTTGGAAACCCTGGGCAAAGGACAATGGGGGCAGGGGACGATGAAGCTTATTCAAACCGTAGGGAGGGAAAGGCAGCCCACCTGCTTTCCAGAGTTTGTGTGAGGAACGGAGCCTGCTGGGACCACCTTTGCCAAACCGCTCCACCTTTCAGTCCAGAGAACAGTGTGGGGAGAAGAGGCAGAGAGGTAGATTGCAGAGTCCCACTTTGTAAAAGCAGGCTACTGCCCACGATGGGAGTTCAGGTCCTGGTCCCAGCCAGGTGTCTTCCACGCATCCTCTTGGGGCCGCCCCGGCAAGCAAGGCCCCCCCAGCACACAGGGAAGACTGCTACATCGCTTGGCACCCAGGCCCGGCCCCGACTCTTGTGCCAGGCTGGGCGGGTGGAGCGCGACTCCTGCCTCCCGTGGGAGCTACTTCCGAAGGTAGCGCTGTGCGAGGACGGCGGCGTCCAGGGCGCTCATGGGCTGGGCGTCGTGGCCAAGGCGCCTCACGGGAGGGACGCTGCCAAACTGCCGCTTTTGCAGGAAAGTCTTTGCCTCGTGAAGCGTGTTCTTCTCCTCTGCCAGCAGCAGCTGCTGCCTCATGTAGTTCTCAAACTCGTACTGGGAACACTCCTCGGCCACCTTTGCCTGCAGGGAGGACAAAGCCTATGGGGCCTTTTGCCCCCAGGAGACCAACGCCGTTGGCCTCTGCTGCCTCCTGGGTCCCCCGAGCCCCAGCCTCCGCAAGCAGCAGGGCGGGCAGTCCGACAGGTAGCCTTCAGCAGGCACCTGCATGCCCCAGGTGCTTCCACGCCCCAGATACCCTGGCAGCAGCAGGGGCCAGTTTGCATTGACTGCATGTCAGAGAAACAGAGGGAGGAGCCCATGAGGGGAGCTGGGCCAGCAACACAGGCAGTTCCCAACTTACAACCACAATGGAGCCCAAAACATAATATCATTGGGTGAAAAAACTTGCTAAGTGAACTTGTCCTATTTTACGACTTTTCTTGCCACGTTTGTTAAGCAAATTACTGCAGTTGTTAAATTAGTAACATGGCAGTTAATGGATTTGGGTTCTCCATTGGCCTTGCTTGCTAGAAGGTTGCAAAATGACTCCGGAACACTGCAGCCCTCACAACGATGCGTCAGTTGCCAAGCACCTGTCAGTCACGGTCACATGTGTGAAACTTCAAATGGTCCTTAAATGAGGACTTTGTGAGGAGGAGGTTGTAAGTTGAGGACCACCTGTAGATACAGGCCTGCCAGCAGCTGAGCGGGAGGGTCTTCGCAGGCCTTCGTCCCTCTCCTGGCAGGCAGAGGCCCTGAGGAAGGGCTGGGACCAGCAACGGCGGCTGGGCTGAGGCTCCCTCTGGGGGCCTCCACGGAGGAGGCCTCTCCAGGCTGGGGGGGGGGCGGGGGGGGGGCAGACCTTACCTCGTGCGCCTGCTCTGGGCTGGCCACCTGGTCGTCGACGTCAGGCACCACCTGCAAGGGCCCCCTGAGGGAGGACAGGGACTGCCTGCGGGGACAAAGGCTTGCTGGTCAGCAGGGCAAAGGCTCCTGCGAGGGGAGAGGAGGCAGCGGCCACTGGACTCCCAGGGGTGGCCCAGCCCAGGCAGGGGGCGTCACGGCGCACAGCAGAGCGCAGGTTCTGGTCCCAGGTGCTTCTCCCTCGGGGTAAGGAGGGAGGGAGGACAGGGGCAGCGCCTGGGATGATGCCCTCACCAGAGCAAGCCAAAGACGGGCAAAAAAGAGCCCAGAGCTGGCCAGCTTGGCACCATGACTCCAACCGCTGCCTCTCTCCTCTCTCCTCCCCAACAACCCATGCGCCTAGAACTGAATCTCCTCCGGCTCCCTGGTTGGAGAGCCCGAGTGGAGACCTCCTGGTTCTCCCGCCCAGCCTAGGCAAAGGCAGCGGCTCAAGCGAGGGGGCCGGAAAAGGCAAAACCAAGGTGCTACCAACGTGGCCTGTCGAACACGGAGAGCCCGGAAGCTGCTCCCCTTCAAACAGTCCCCTTTGGACGGGCGGAGAAGGGCAGCCCAGCCCAACCCCCCTCTGTCTGGCAGAGCCACCCCAAGAAACCTCCTCTCCCCAGCGGCCCCTCCCTCACACCCCCCTCCCCCCCTCACCAGGAGGCGATGATGGAGCTGAGGGATTCAAGTACTTCCGAGGCTGCCAGGCGCTGCTGGGGATCCAGGACCAGCAGCTTCCGGATCAAGCAGACGGTGTTCTCGGACACCCGCCCGTCCCTGCTGGAGAACAGGGGAGAGCTAGAGGGATGGCCAGGAAGCAGGGCGGCTCAGGGCGGGCGGGAAGGCCGAGGGCCACTTTCACTCACTCTGGGATGGCGTACTCGGCAGCCTTGATCTTGCGGAAGAGCTCCTGAGGGATGCTGTCGTAGAAGGGGAACTGCCCGTAGAGCATGGTGAAGAGGACCACTCCCAGTGCCCACATGTCACTGGGCTTCCCACGGTAGGGCCGACCTGCAGGGCAGAGGAGGCATCCGCAGGCTAGCATGGCCCACCGAGGAGCAGGACCCTGCCGGCTGAGCTCACGGCCTTTCTGCCCGGGGGTGGGAGGGAGATAAGGTGGCCAGCTCCCCCCTCAACCAGCAGAGTCTCTTTTGCATCCGCCAGCCAGCCAGCCAAGGCAAAGAGGTCTCAGAACCATGGGGGCTCCGCCTGGAGCAAGCTGGAAATAGGTCTGAAAGTCCCTCCACTGCTGTGCTGGGCGGGGGAAGAGCCCCTGGGCTCAGAAAAGGGGAAAGAGGGGAGACGGCAACGTCGCAAGGCAACGGGAGCCCTCGGGGGAAGGGAGGCTACTTACCGCTAAGGACGTCGGGACTAATGTAGGCGGGGCTGCCCCGTTGGTCCTTCAGCAGGTCATCCTCACTCACCAAGTGCTTCCCAAGACAGAAGTTGGTGATGGTGATTCGGTGGGTCCTGAAGCAAAGACAGCATTAGAAGAGGAAGCAGAGAGGATCCAGGGGCTGCAACGGAAGCGATGCGAGATCCCAAAATTTGCTGCCCCACGAGGACAAGCGGAAGGAACGTGGGGTGGTCGCCCAGGGAAGACGTGGTAGCTACGTTCAGGTGTGCCTGTGTGTGTGTGTGTGTGTGTGTGTGCGCGCGCGCGCGCGTGTGCCACAGAGAGGGTAGTTATCAAGGGTTTTCCATGACCACCAAAACGAAGTCAAAAGCTGCTGCTATAAGCTGCAGTTACCTAGATTTCATTGAAATATATGTTAACACACGGACAACAACAGAACAATCAACTGAGGCAGGTTATGGGTTTTGAGTCTCTGGAGTCTTTTAAGAGGTTGGATAGCCAACTCCGACAGTTGGCGTCACTGATCTCTTTGTACACTGCAGAGGGTTGGAGCAGGTGATCCTTGTGGTCCCTTCCAACTCTACAATTCTATGATTTTACGATATGTAAGCAGAGTCCCAAGAGAAGAGCCCCCAGTCAGCTCTCACGACAGATGATCCTGACTGGCTCACTGATTAGATCCAAATTTAAACAGCCTCCAGGGCTATGCATTGTGACCACAAAAGGACTTGTAAGGCTCTGGAGAACCAGGACTGCCCAAAAGCTTTGTGTGTCTCTTTTGGGTTTGATCCAGTCCTTCAGCCTCAGGGCTCCTCCCTGGAGCTGTCAAGAGCCTGTAGGGGGGGTGGGGGTAGCAGAAGAGAATCCAGGGTGCTGCATTGGGGGAAAAAGAGGGTGGGCTAACATCGCCCCAGAATCCCCACTGCCATCAGCCCTCATACCTGCGGTAACAAGCAGTGCGGGCCTACATTTGTTTCTATTTCACACCACTGGGTAAAAATTGCCAGAATCCTCAGAACCGTAGAAAAGGAACAGGAATAGAAAAGGAATTGCTGTCATAGAAATGCAGCACCTTTTAAAAAGGATTCTTCCAGAGAAAGACCATCAATTTAATTCCTGGATTAAAAGCAGAATTAAATTGGAAGACTTCATAGAAGAACAGATCTTTTGGTGTTTTATCTCAATTAACATTTGCTTAAAAAGGAAAGAAACTTCCAGCTCAGACAAGTATAGAATTAAGATGGATCTCCTATAAAGCAGAACAAGGGAAATTTGCCAAGCAATAGCTAAATTGTTATTTTATATTCCCTTCTATCTACCCCAGGATTATAAAGCCAAGAAAAAAGCATAATTACTGCAGAGGAAAGAGGAGAGAGAAGGCAGCCAAACCAAACTTCTGCCATTCAAGACTGTTTATGAATTCAGCCACAAAGAGATTCCAAATTTCATGGGCTGCCTTTCCATGGAATCATAGAGTTGGAAGAGATTGCAGAGGCCGGCCCAATCTTGTGCTCAGTGCAGGATCCACTGCAGATCGCAGTCGACTGCCACTGCCCAGACTGACCGAAGACCTCCAGGGAAGGCCAACCGAGGGCTCTTTGCCCCTGAAGTCCAAGCTGCACTTCCTTTCCTGCAGGCTCAACCCGTTGGCGCTGGCCTTGCTCCCACAGCAACAGAAGAAGGGACTGGACCCCACACCGACTCTCTTCCCGAAGACCCGGTTCTGCCAGCAGGCCTGGGGAACCCAGCGCGGGATGGAGCCCACCAAATGGCTTGGGTGATCTGCACTCACTGGGGGTGATTTTACTATATCAATTCATTTGATTTTATGGTGAACAGGCAGCAATACAAATCTAATAAAATAAAATAAGAAAATAAGAAATAGCAAGAGCGGTCTGCCTCCTGCTCCTTCTCCTGCCTGCGTTCAGTAGCAGGCTTCCCCTCATCCTTTCCCCCTGCAAGCTAAACACGGCCAGCTGCTTCCATCCTTCCTGAGAGGACTTTCCATTCCCGCCTTCATTTTGGTCCCCATTCTCTGAACATGCTGACCAACTTTGTCCATGTGGCTTTAGACTGAGGTGCCCAGAAGCAGGCATGAGGTCCAGTTTTCTCAGGATCCATCCCTTATCCGGGTAAGTGCATGGAATAAACCACAACTCAGCTCCCAGGGAAGGAGCAGCCCTTCAGGCTCCCTGACCTCAAACTACTTGGCAGCTCCAGAAGCCATCAACGGCTCGGTATGGTCAAACCGAGGAGTCCCGGTCAAACACTCAGCAGCTACCTCTTCCAAACAGCTTTCTCACAGAACACACTGCAGCAAGTTGACCCGAACATGGCCAAAATATGGGTCCGAAAAGTGAGGTTAGAAAATGCTGAAGGTGGCAGAAGCCAAAGCAAGTTTGCCTGAATTGAGTAAGTTTCCCTTTCTGAGGCTGGAACAAAGAGCCTCCCCAGAACGGAGAGCTTTGGGGCTCTGCTTCCTCACACGTGGCTAAGAAAGAGCTTCTAACTTCCCAGCAGCCTCTTGGAAGCCTCAACTGAGCCCACTCGGCCTCCTTTCCAAGGCCAAAGAGCTGCACGCATTCAGGACTGTTCACACTCTGGCTGGAGGCTGGACCAGTTCTTTCCACCCACAGCCTTGAAAGAACTTTGGGTGCTTTCCCCACGTGGGAATGAGGAGAGTCCCGAGGGGCTGCTGCAGAACCCTTAAAAGGCTGCTTTTAGGAGGATGCACAAAAGCTGCTGCCCAGGGACATCCCTCGATCTGTCTGGGCATAAGGAAGACCAGCTAGACTGGTCTCCCTGGTGACTGGCAGAGTAGCCACACCAAAGGCCATCGCCCTCAAATGGTTGCTAATAGTTTCTTGTCGTTAAGGGCTAGTTTTGTGCCGTTGGCTTTACTTTTATTGGCCAATGACTGGAAAAACCTTTCTGTCTACCCGCATCGAGGACAAGCTGCAGAGTCGCTCAGAGCAATGGCAGGGCCAACCTCCCAATTCCTGACTGGGGAGCTGACTGACTCTTCCGGTACTTCCAGCTGCACCCGATGGAAGCGTCACCCATTCTTGGACTTTTGCCCACCAGAGAACAAGAAGAGGGGTGCACAGGAGAGATGCCACCTGCCCTGCTACCCACTTGCCCAGCTGTGTCCAAAGGACAAGCATCCCATGGTCGAGCAATTTGCAGAAGGAACACACCTTTTGTTTAGCACCATGTTCCCCAGTTTCAAGTCTCTGTGCACAATGTTCTCCTGAAAAAATAAAACAATCCTGCAATTAGAGCAGCGGAGGCGATCCTGCCCAAGGCAGAAGAGCCAAGCGAGGCGGGCGATGGAATCCCCCAAGAGAAGCGTCCGGCTCAGCTCCAGCTTCCATCCTTTTGCTCCTGCCCAGGAGGCAGGTCAGAAACGGCGCTCAGTAACATGGAGGGTTGCTGTCCCGACCGCAACCTTCTTCCAGCCGTGCCAGATTCTGGGGCCAGTGTGCACTCCATAACCCAGCAGCTACCACGCTGCAGAATAAGCGCAGAAACAGGGTACCTTGTGCAAGGCTTCCACCACCCGCACAACGTCGTAGAAGATCACAACCGTCTCCCGTTCACTAAGCCGCTTCTCTTTGATGACGTAGTGCTGGAGGTTGATGAGCTCAGCGGTCTTGTCACTGAAGTCGTGGGCGCAGAGGCAGTCCAGCACCAAGCAGATGCGTTTCTTCATTTTCCGGACCATCCGGCTGGACTCCAGATCTTCCACCAGCTCGCAGGTTCGGTCCTGCAATGTCCCAAGTCACAGGGACCAGCGTTAATTGAGCAGGGAGACCCCGGCCCCACCCACTGATTAAACACAAGCCCATTCCGTGCTGTAGTGCGGGCTTTGCACCCGTGCAAAATGACGGCTCTTCACAGCCATGAAGGAAATCCTCAGAGATTTCGGAAAGGCGTGGGTGGGTGCAGAGATATTTTGTCTTACCAGAAGTGCACAATTCTTCCCAGCAAGCCGTAGCCTTGCCAAAGGGGGGCAGCCCTTCACCTTGCTCAGGCAATTGTGATTAAAGTGGCACAGAGGGGCATTTGATGGGCGGAGCCTAACAGACTCAGGCAGAGGAGCTGGACTGGGACTGTGGCCGCCCCTGCAAGCACCACATGACATCAACACCACAGCGTCCCCAAAACCAATGAACTTGGGTTGCGCCATTTGAAGGATTAAGAAAACAGGCCTCTTGAGGCTGCACCCGATCAGTGCTAGGAGGCCAGGAAGCCGTGCACTCCAGCTCCTACCTGGAAAAGGCCGTGATGATGGACCACCCCATCCTGATTGTGCAGGAGAGAGAGGAGGGAGAACTCTGTATGCAGCAGCATTTTGCCCTGGCGTTCCTCTTGGGTTTCTGTGCCATGGTCCCTCTTGTCCTCCAAGGTGAGGATCTTTGTGAGTAAGAAAAAGGAAGAGCAGCTCAAGACAGTACCTTTTTTGCAGAAAAGCCAGAAAGTGCCAATCTCAAGTGCAATGCACACAAAATCACAGCAGGGCACAGAGGACCTTGGCACGCCAAGCTGACATCATAAATAAAAGAGGCTCTAACAAAGAGGGCACACCTTTCCCCAGCACTCCTCCTCTGCCCCAGTTGCTGTGCCCAGAGCACCGATTTGGGGGTTAATGGTTCTAGGGCAGGTAACAGTTTTCACATCTTAACCTCTTTTATCATTATCACTCCCAGCCTCGGCAGCAGCAAGCAACTCAGTGAAGGTGTCAGAAAGGCCTCTCTCTACCTGAGCCCTCTGGGAAAGCATCCCCACCTAAAAGGGGCTGCTGTGGCTTTGGGGACTGGACAGCTGAAGAAGGCATCCCTCCTATCACTTGAGGGGAACCACCGAAGTTTTGGCTGTGGTGCCCCCACAGCAACTAAATTTCCATCGAAGATTGACTAGGCCATGCCTATCCCACTCCATTCTTCTAAAACAGCATTTGGAGGAGGACCCAGATTGTTGGGGCAATACGCTGACTCTGTACATCTCCCAGAGATGGCTGTACAGCCCTGTAAAGCAGTACATAAGGCTAAGTGCTATTGTTATTTAGCAGTAGCACTTAGGTTTATATACCACCCCATAGCACTTCACAGCATTCTCTGGGTGGTTTACAGTGTTGAAGCATTCCTTGCATATTCCCCCCAACAATTTGGTCTTCGTTTTACAGACTTCAGAAGGTTGGAAGGCTGAGTCAACCTGGAGCGCTGTTAGGTTCTACCCCCTGGCTGTGGGCAGAATTTGTCTGCACCACCAGAGGTGCATTCGATCCCACTTTTAAAGATTCTGCAGTTCAGCAGATCTTTAGGGTTTAAACACCGTGCCTCTCTTTCATGTCAGTTATTTTGGGGGACCTACTTTTCTAAGTTGCTTCTTACCTTCAGCTGATAGAAGTCGTCTGTCCCATCTTTTCTTGCCAAGCACTGAACAATGCTAGGCACTGGGGAGTTGCCCAAACGCGGGCCTGGGAACATAAAAACAGAACGTCTAGAAGCTCCCCCTGTGCCCAACAAGAGGTCTTTCTCCTTAAGTCACAGAGATGGCCAATAGGAAGCGGAAAGGGAGGTGGCCCTCACACGTCCTCCCCAGCTCAGCGCAAGAGCAGGAGAATGCTGTGGCCACCTGCCCTGGAGCTGAAGCCAGAAGGGTCACACACAAACCCCAGGGTGAACACTGGAGGCGTTGCCCTCTTTTCTGGGAAAGGGCCACTCAAGATGAGCTAACTGCCCTGGGGTGCTAGGGACAATTATGCCACCCAGCAGTGACCACAGCAGGAAGGGACTCAAAACCTTTATTTGCAAATGCTGAGACAGGATTGTGTCTCGGCTCCGATCCTCCTGCCACCTGGTGATGAAAGAAGGCTGGGATACCTTTTAGGAGTCCTGCAGGGTTGCAGCCTGGCTGGATATATTGTCTCTCAGGGACCAGGAATTTCATCCTGCTTTATGGCAGAGCTCATCAGGCAAAGGAATCGATCTGCATGTCTGATGATCTGACAGCATTGAATGGGGGGCGGGGGGGGCAGCATCCCCTGGGGGCAACTATCACTTTTACTCACCAAGAATGAAAGGCCCAGCCCTTTTGGTGTTGCTGCTGGAAATCCCTGGGCAGAGGACCTTGGCTGATGTTTCCCCACCACCTCTCTCGGAGGTTCGTCGCTTCATTCGGAGTTCTGCAAAAGAAAGGCAGGCGCTGCTTTAAGCCCAATTCACTTTCTCAAAGGAGCTTTCCTATCAGTTGCCTTTTTTTACCACACAGAAACAGCTCATAGATTTCTTGCTTGTGGATGACCTTGGGGGAAGAGCTGCTGCAAGCAACCAGAGAGCCCCCAGAGAGAGAAACCTAGGAAGGACCCGCTGCAGGAGGACCCCCTCCCCTCAATGTGCTCCAAGGATGCTAGCAAAGTGGCTGTGAACTGATTCAAGTGCTGCCCACCCACTGCAGAAGCACCAAGAGCAGCAAGGGAAATAAGTAAAAGAGGTTTTCACACTACTAAAGCCATTTGATGTGTGGAGCTGGTGAACTCCTCCTGCTTTGGAGATTTCAGCTGGTCTCCACTGATCGGCAGGTTTGAAACGCCAGCTGCCACTGATGCTGCTACAGCCAACAGAAGCTGGGGAGAGCCACCCTAGTGGCAAGGGGCTGAAGGAATCTCCTAAAGGGTGCAATACTGCAACAAAGAGGGCAATGAGCTCATGGAAGACCCTGCCAGTCTCCCTACCAAAGACTCCCGGGGAGAAAGTCAAGGAATGCTTTGGCGTTGAGGGAACACAGGGCAGCCTGAGAGGCTCATTTGCCAGCCTACGATCACTGGTGCACAAAAAGAATGGGGTCCACATGTCCACACATTTGCCTGTGTGTCTCTTCTAAGGAGTTCATTGTGGCAAAAAACATGTGTCAGGCAGAGCACAAGAGCTTCACCTGCAGACAAGCGATAGACAGGCACACACATGCACAATGAACCCTAAAGCACAAAGATCACCATCCTAAGGATACTCAATTGAATACAGTCCCGTTTTTGAGGCCTAGCGAAACACAAGAACTCGCAGGGAGGAGCATATTTGATTACTAAAGTCACCAAGGGCAGCGGAGCAAGGGCACCCAAGGCAGGAGTTCAGGTTGTGGCGCTTTGGACAGCTTCTTCTCAAGTCTCACGTGGTACACCACCACCACCACAATGAGGCATAAGACTGTAACTGTCTTAGCTGTTCTAATCTCTGAATGTAATTCTTTGCATACAAAAAACACCCAGCCGAGTTATAGACAAATGCCTGCACAAGACAGCAATGAATCCAATGTTTGCCAGATATTCTCCAAGTTCTGATCTTTGCTCTGGGTCCGGCTGTGCCTAATATATAAATTCAAACATTTTCTTTGTTGCACTTCATATGGCCCACAGACAAGATGCAAAGCTGATTTTGCTACTGATCTGGAACTCACACTTGTCTTGTTTCTTCTTAGCCTTCACTTGATTGGAAAAAACAGTCCACACCTTGTTTACTTCTGACCTGGCTTGGTCATGATTGCAGGAAATAGTTCGTGCTGGAGGACTCTGGATGGGGGCAGACCGGCTAAGGGTACCTTTCTCTTGCTGCCACTTTTGACTTGGAAGCTTTTGACTCTGTACAGGAAGCTTCCCTGCAAAGGTCTCCTGCCAGAGCAAGGTTCCCGACTGAGCCAAGGGCTTTCATCAAGTCCAGGACAGAGTCCGGCCCAAACGCATCTGTCAGCAATGCAAACAATGGCTGGGCCGTAAAGACAAAGACTTCTTCAAGTCACGCTGGACCCTTGGGGTCTGCCTTCATACAGTTTCGTCACCGTCTACTTCCCTGGTTGCCAATGGCCCTGGAGTTCCCACCTGGTCCCTCACAAGGACTAACCAGACCGGATTCAGTTTGCTTTTGGAATCAACCGAGATTCACTAAGTTCCGACACCGGCAAAAGCAGATGTTGTGTACTGAATAAGTTTCCTTGCCCAATTGAGATTGGGCAAGCCCTACGGATTGTGAAGCACTTAGGGGGGATGCTCTAAAGCATCCTTTCCCTCAATTTGATTCTGACTTCACAAACAAAACGTTTTTAAACTTTACTGTTGGAGTTTCCTAGTAATCACCAACCTTGCTAAATTTCTGAGCCCTAATTAGGTTAGCCTGAACTAGAGCAAAATTACTTTTTCTACTTTTAATTGGCCAGAAAAGCGGTACAGGTTGGGGCAGCCTCATCTTGTTAGATTTTAGCTTCAGTTTTTTGTCATGCTAACAGCCATGTTCCCAAGGACAAAAGAAAAACAGCCATATTTCATCAGGAAGTAAAACTCTGAATACACAATTATTGCAATGTGCTGCCTTCCCGATGACAGAATGCCACCTAGAGCCACACTGCCGACTAGCCAAGCCAACCTGCACTTTGATCAAGTTTCACTCACAGTTGGTGAAAATTCTGGATGGCCTTGGGATTAAAATATTCATCAGAAAGAAAAGCAGAACTGTGCTGTTTGTTCTCAAGAACTTTCCCCATATTCTTAATAAAAGTCCTTCTTAAACTAACACTGACATCATTTTACATTATGTAGAAGGTGCACTTCTATTTGTATTTTGCCATGAATCTATACTGGTTTGCTAGTATACTGGCAAGATGGGCAAATAGTTCAGCTCAAGAAGGAATAAAGGAATACATTTATCAAGGAATAAATCCTCATTAATTCAATGGGACAGTTCTGACAAATATACAAAAGCGCATGCTAGGATGGCAAGGGAAAAAGTCCTGCTGAGCTATCAAATCCTTGAACAACTGACATAACATTGATTCCTATTGAACCACCTTGACACAATATGTTAAAATGTTCAACAGTTGCTACTGTTCATCTTAATATTGAACAAGATGCAAAAGATCAGTTTTCTAAGTATGCACCTCATTTACTAGGCCATTTCCAGGCAATCTTGTTTTACAGCTGTATGTGAACTGTGTGGCCTTGGCAAACTCAACTCAAAGTTGCAAGATCAAATTGTGGTTGGCCACCGGGACCAGAGATGGACTCTTCTGCCCAGCATGAGTCTGAAGCTTGGAAGAGTAAATCTTGGTCCAGTAGTAAGCGACCGAGATTCAATCTTGCGACATTATTCAGGGACTTCAGGTACCCTATATTTGCTAACCGCAAGGGTGGGCAGGGAGGCCAGGTGAGCAGAAGAAAGCTAGGCAACTTCAGAAGAGCAGCAGCCGACCTGAAAGCCTGAAGCCCCCGAAAGCCAGAACTCAGGAGGAGGAGGAGGAGGAGGAGAAGCAGGTGGGCTAAGCTGCCCCTGGGAGCTGTGGACGCCCCATCGCGGGAGGCCTCCAAGGAGACACCGGGCTGCCAGGGGCCGGGCTGGAAGGCCCCAAGGAGAGACAAGCAGGAAGAGGGGCGGCTTTGGCCTGGCCACCCCTCAGCCCCAAGGACACCGGGGCCTCCCCATCCACGGGGTCTCTCACCCCCGAGGCCGCGGGGGAACAGAGGCCACAGCCGGGTGAATAGCCACGTTTGGACTCCGCCGGTCTCGGGTTTCGGAACCGCCGCTTCGCTCTCCCGCCTGCAACCGCCCCGGCCTCCGCCAGCTGCCCCCCTCCCCCTCCCCGCGCTTCCGCCGCCCCCAAAGGCAGCTCGGGCAGCGCCGCCGCCTCCTGCGCCCCTCGGCCTCTCCGTCTCCCGGCGGAACCTCCGCTCAGCGCCCGGGAAGCTCCCCAACACCCCCGGCGCCTCTTATGGGAAGGCCGGGGACGCCCCGCACTCCGCTCAGCCGGGCCCGGTTTCCGCTGGCCTTCGAGCCCCGGAGGGCTTCCGGCTCCCCCCCCGCCCCCCAAAGGCCGCGGCTGCAGCCGGAGCCTCCGCTTTTACGGCCAGCCAGGCCCCGGGCAGACGGGGCTCGCCCTCCCTCGGCGAGGCGCCAGGCCCCCCTCCCGCCGCAGGGGCGCCGCTCTCCCGGCTGAAGGGCTGCCGCCCGGGGGCCTCGCTTGGGGAAGGGCCGCGTCCTCCTGCAGGCGGGCCTGGCCAGGAGAGGGGCCGCCCCTGCCGCAAGGCCCGCGGGGGAGAGGAGGCGGGCCGAGTCTCGGGGCTTCTCCGCCGCTGCCTCCCGCGGGCTTCGGCTTCGGTTCCGGGCCAGCGGCGAACGCTTCCGACCCAGGGAGGCGCCCGACGCCACGGAAGCCGGCCGCCCCCGCTCGGGCCTCCGCGGGGGAGGAACCGCCGCCGAACCCCCTGCCCCGCCGGCCCCCGCGCCCTCTCACCCATCGCCGCTGCCTCCGGCCCCGGCCCCGCCGGCCCCACTCGCCAGGCCGCCTCCCGCTCGGGCGCCCGCCTCGGCCCCTCACGGCGGACGTGACGCAGAGGGGACGTCGCTACGCCGGCCCCGCCTCCGGGGTTGGCCGGCCGAGCGAGCACGTGGCCCCCCCGCCTCCTTCGGCCGGGAACCTCCGGTGCTGCCGGGGGGAGGCGAGCCGGGGCGGGGGGAGCGGCGGCCCAGGCGAAGGAGTCCCGTCACGAGGCCCGCCGGGGAAAGCGGGGAGGAGCCGCCGCCTCCAGGCCCCGAGGCTGGGACTGGCTCGCAACGCTTCCGCTGGCGCCTGCCGGCGGGGCCGGGCCCGTCACTTGCCCCATGTCCTCCCGGTTGTGTGGCTGGGCGGAAGGAAGAACGGAAGGCCGGGCGGGGTTGCCCAACGGAGCCCGGGGGCTGGGGCAACCAGCCGGGCGTTTGGGGCAGGGGGCCGTAGACAAGGCAGAGGCCGACGGTCGGTGCAAGAACGGGCCGCGGTTCGGCTCCAGGGCGGCGCTCCCCAAGGTTACGCCAGCTATCCGCGCTCTGAGCGCCGGTGCGGAAGGCGCCGTCCTTGCCCTGGATCGGCCGCTTTCCCTGCCTCCTGACGGGCGCCTCCTCGGGGTGGGGGAGCCCTTAACGCCTGCGCGCCCTCCATGCCATGGGAGGACAAGATTTCCCTGGAAGGAGGGCCGCGTTCAGAGACCCGCCGGCAGCAGAAGAGCCGAGGAACAACGCAGCCCTTGGGAAAGCGACAGGCCGCGAGAGGAGAGCTCCCTTCGGCTCCCAGGGCGCAGCAGGCGGTTGGCTGTCCGCCTCTCCCCGCTTCTTCCACCCTGGCCAAATAGTGTCACTTCTCTCCCCTTTGCACCCCTGGCCCCTTTCCTCTCTCGGGAGGGATCCTCTCCTGAGGTTCAGGGCACCCGGGCTCTCCTGCTCCCCTGTCCCAGCGCCCCCCCCCTTCCCTCGCCCACTTCAACACATTCCTTCTTCCGGGCAGGTTTTTGTGTGGGATTCATCTTCGTTCATCAGCTATTTGCTCTTGGCTATCTCTCCCTCTCATGTGACCAGCTGCCCTCCTTAGGGCTTCATTCCCATTGGTTCCTTTCTCTCCTGACATACACACAGCATTCCTCTCTCATTTCCATTTAACAGAATGGATAGGTTTTTAGATCTTAGGACCACTGTCATTTTCTTTCAGACTATGACCTTTAGCAATTATTCTACAAAAATATTCAGACGGTTTTTTAAAAAATTCAAGTGTTTCCTATTTACCTATAACTCACAAAAATATGTCCATTTTTCCTGTCAAGCATCACATTCTGTAAGGAGGCAGTCCACACCCAAAGAGCTATGGTTTCTGTGCAAACTATGACAATCGGAACATTTAGGGATTGGTTTGGTGGCTTCCTGGGGACCTTTGCTTGGCATGG